TTGTAGAATGTTTTCTTGTTTCCTTTTATGTCCCTAGCCAGTTTGATCTTGTTTGGTGCCTTGGCTTTTCTAATTTTGTCCCTACATACTTGTGTCATTTGTTTATATTCATCCTTTGTTATTTGACCAACTTTCCACTTTTTGTAGGACTCTTTTTTGAGTTTTAGATCATTGAAGATCTCCTTGTTAAGCCAGGGTGGTTTCTTGCCAGACTTCCTATCTTTATTACGCAGTGGGATAGTTTGCTCTTGTGCCCTTAATAATGTCTCTTTGAAAAACTGCCAACTGTCTTCAGTTGTTTTTCCCCTTAGACTTGCTTTCCATGGGATTTTACCTAACAACTCCTTGAGTTCGCTAAAGTCTGCCTTCTTGAAATCCATTGTCTTTATTGTGCTGTTCTCTTTCCTATCATTTCTTAGAATCATGAACTCTACCATTTCATGATCACTTTCACCCAAGTTGCCTTCCACTTTCAAATTCTCAACCAGTTCCTCCTTATTTGTCAAAATCAAATCTAGAACAGCCTCCCCCCTTACTATCTTTCTCCTCCTTCTGATATAAAAAAATTGTCTCTAATACATTCCAAGAACTTGTTGGATAATCTGTGCCCTGCTGTGTTATTTTCCCAACAGATGTCTGGGTAGTGGAAGTCCATGATCACCACCAAGTCCTGCGCTTTGGATGATTTTGTTAGTTGTTTAAAAAAAGCCTCATCCACCTCTTCTTCCTGGTTTGGTGGTCTGTAATAGACCCCTACCATGACTTCACCCTTGCTTTTTACTCCTTTTATCCTTACCCAGAGAATTTCAACAAGTCTGTCTCATATTTCTATCTCAACCTCAGTCCAAGTGTGTACATTTTTAATATATAAGGCAACACCTCCTCCCTTTTTCCCCTGCGTGTCCTTCCTGAGCAAGATACACCAATATTCCAGTCATGTGTATTATCCCACCAAGTCTCCGTGATGCCAACTATGTTATAGTTATGTTTATTTACAAGCATTTTGAGTTCTTCCTGCTTATTCCCCATACTTCTCGCATTAGTATACAGACGTCTAAGATACTGATTTGATTGAGCTGCAGTCTCTGCAATACTGCCACCTTTAAAATGAGCTAGTGACCCAGCCAGGAGGTGATGAAAGCTCTGGTTTCTGGGTTCAGACCTCGGAGGAACCAATCGAGTTTCCTAGCGAAGGAGAAATAGAAGAAGCAATTTTTTAGTCACTGACCCTTCTTTGTAAGTACTGAGAATCTGTAATTCATGCTATTTTGATTGGTTACACAGGTCACATATTCTTTATGGTCTCTGATTGGATGGCTGTAGATTTTTTTGTTTGTTTGTGAAGGGGATAAGTTTTCAGGCCATACGTCCCCTTTTCCCACTTTTGCTGGCAGACCTGCATGGTTGAAGAGATCTGTCAGTCAAGGAGAGAACACCGCCTTATCACCACAGTCTCTCTCTGAATTTCCCTCCCAGAATTATAACAGTCATTTAGTCAGTAAAGGAAGACCCCCATTCCTAGGTATAGATTTGGGGGCTCTTAACAGGCTCAGTGATATGCCCCTAATCATTCCCCAAAGCCTGGTTGCTACATGTCGCAGTTGTACTGGGCCTAGCAAAAAGTTCTGCGCCCTGAGATGAAGGCAGCATAGAGAGGCTGCTCTGACATTGTTCTGCCACTAAGGAAGGGCTTAATTCAGAAATAACTTTCATGGTTGTATCCCAGGAAATGTTATGGATCTGCAGCGTGGAGGCATTTTCTGGCAGGATCGAGCTCTATATTGTTGTGGAAATACCTACTGTCCGATATGGAAATGCACAGCATATAGTCCACTTAAATCGATGTCTTTATACTCCTAAGAAAGAAACCTTGGTGGTAGGGTGAATGGATCTCATTCCTACATTAAAGACAGCAGGTCGGTCCAGTTTTCAAAAGTGGATGTGAATCTGGACATACAAATCCAGTATCTGGACACGTGAATCACCACTTACACGTGTAAATTCCTGTAAGTGCTGACCTGAGTGTCTAAATGTGGCATTTGGACATAGTATTAAAGTGCCCACATATGGAGATTGGGCTCCCCTTTCCCCCCTCACTTAAAACGGAACTTAACATAGACTCTCTAATGATCACTACATTAAAAGTGTCAAAAAATCCTGCCGTAGATTAGCTGAGACCAGGATGTCTGTCTCATTTAAACTAGAGCTAGGAACCAACCAAGCCCTGACGTGAACATCCCTGAACTTTGGAGAATCCATCTCCAAATCTGAATGAAACTCTGGGCCCAATCCCAAACCCTAAATCATGCAAATTTATGCAAGTAGTTCCATAGACTGCAATGGGATTGCTCACATGAGTAATGAAATATTAACCTCCTGGGTAAGGGCTTTCCAGGATCAGGCTGTGTGTGGATTGGGCTCATTGCTAATTTATATACAGCATCTGAAGACTAATTATCCCAGTTTTCATTAATGATAATTAAGTCTGACCAAGAAATTAAGCATTTCACATTCTCTTGTAGTTTCTGCTATCTGCAAAAAGTGCCTGTTGTGTACACTGGCTCTGGGGGACATATGCTTATTGCTGACTTACCAAAGAATTCTCTTTCCTGAGTGGAAGGATAATGAAAGAAGCAGAAATTTGACAGTGGGAGCATGGTGAAGTGATTGGGCAGACAGCTGTCCAGACAGAAATCTAGGGGGGGAGGAGGGGAGGTTCAGAAATACAACAGCAAATTCTCAAGACACAAAAGACAGAAATGTTTTCCTGTCTGAAAGGGCTCTGCACAGATTATGTTGTGGCTTTCCCAGAGAAACTGTGGTGTGGATCTGTAGCTGCTTAATTCTTTGAGGTCAAACGTGGGTGCTTAAAGTCAGACACTTAAATCCATATTTAGAAATGTGGTGGGCTTGATTTTCGAAATCTGAACGCCTCCGTTTCTAACTGACGTCATGGGACCTCTGCGTTCTCAGTTCCTCTGACGTGCAGGCCCATCCAGTCACGAACGTGGCCTGATTTTCAAAGGCGCTGAGTGCCCAAAACTCCCACAGACGCCAATGGGAGCAGCACCTCTAAAGGTCAGGCCTCCTTAGTGAGATGCCCAAATATGGATTCAGGTATTTAACTTTAGGCCCCTATGTTTGGATTTCTTGACGTCTGAACTCTTGGCTTGTCCATTCCTACTGATGTCAATGGGAGCGTCCCAAGAATCAAGAGGCGCTGCTGGGTGAACGGAAGCGATAGAGTATCAATTATTACTAAGCTTACTGCTGTTTCATCATCCACAACCAAAGCTTAGGGAGGCTGACACAGCTGTTAGCATAATCATTGCGACGCACACTCTTTCCTATGTGCCTCAGAAGGCACCGGACCTAATCCTGCCCTTGCAGGTGCCAGAGGCTGGGGGCAAAGAGGTGGAATGATGCTGGCAGTGCAGTAGGTCCTAGGGCCATCCAGATAGCACACAGCAGGATGTCTCAGGAGATGCACATAAGGATGTGCTTACTGTTCCTTTAGGGCTAAACTATCGAGGCCTGTGTATTGGGCAGAGCCACCAACGGTGCAGCCCAGGACTCAGGAGTCACAATCTGCTTCCTGATTTCTCCCCTGCTCTGGTGGGAAGGAACATGCCCTGCACCAACCCTATATCTGGCACAGAATACATCCCCTGGCGTGGCTGTCTGGTACATTGTGGGGCAGAGTCAAAGCCGAACCCACACTTTATGTGGGAGAGGGTAGCAGCTTTCTAGAGGCTGCTCCTCACCCCATAACTCCCCTGCATGTGCATGCCAAACAGGCCACAGTCTGCGCCATAAAGAGGAGGCTGTATTCTCACTTAGCGGCCATTCTAAACTCTAGGATGTTAGCATAGGGACCTGGCTGTCCTCCCAAGCCAGTGGAGCCTTGGGGTGCTGGCTAGGGTGACCATCAGTCCCTTAGCTTAGTGCTGGTTGAAGTTAGCACTAGCTGAAATCCTGCCCTGTTTCTGCAAGGGACAGATGAAGCTCCCTATGACTTCTTTCTCCGCTAGTAGCACGGGGCAGGATTTTGTCCTGTTTGATACTGATAGAATACAGTGTGTAGCACCTTACTGGCAAGTTGTCCCATCTGTTTAGATGGGACTGTTCGAGGAGTAAGACAGTGCTCATTTGTGAATAAGGAGGGTATATTTTGGTTCAGCAGAAAAGAACTGATCAGATCAGCCTCTGCCAAAGATGCAAGAGGATTTTATAGTGATGGGTATTGCATTCCAAGGCAAGAGATGAACATTTTAGAAGATGCTGGGAAGTCTCAGCACCCTGATCCTATGGCAATTGGTGCTGTAGACATGCTAGATAGGTAGAGGAGCAGACAGAATCTCTGTAAAAAATGGAGGAAAATATTTGTTCTTTGCATTCACTTGATGTACAAAACAAAAAGTCAGGGTTTCTTCTCTAATTCAGCTAAAATCTAATCAGCTGTACTCAGACTTCTTATAGCGTTTAGCCTTATAGGCACCTCTTCAGACACTTTCCCCATTCATAGAGCAGAGATTTGAACACATTCTTGTCATGAACAACACACATTAATAAGGAAAGGACTGCAAATTTAGAACCCATTAAAATTGTGGCTTCTAGATATAAGATCTCATCCAATGAGCATTGAAGACAGTGGAAAAACTTCTGTTGGCTTAAGTGGTGTGAATTGAAATTTTAAAAAAATCATGATATTCAAAAAAGTTCTGGTAAAGTCAAATCTTACAATATATTATCTAATTTTTCAAAATCACAAATTCCCACAGGTTCTACCATCACTAAAGGAAATGCCCAGCCTACCCATATTTAAATTATAGCAGATTTAAAAAAAAATCAGTTTGGTTTAGATTCATCCTTGGTGTAAATTCATTGGTTCTAGGAACAAATGTGACCCATGATCTGTACCATATTTAGTAGGTTTTTCTTTCAGGGAAGCTCAAGATGCATAGTTCTCTCTGGAGGGTGTAAGTTTTGAAATGTCTTACCTGTATGGAGACACTGCTATAAGAACCACCTATGACACCTGCAATGAGTAACGGAATGTTTTCTTGAATGGCGTAAGATCCATCGGGGCACATATACTCCGCTTCGTCCACTTTAGTCAAAGATGCCCTGACAAACTCCAGAGACTGTTCTAACGCGTATGTATCCCTTGAACATGTGTCCAAAATATGAACTCCAAGCTTAATTCCTGGGAGCAAGTAATTGTCTCTGTTGATTTCATCAATGGCAAACAACATAGCCTCCAAGCGCTGGATGCCTCGGTCTTCATTGATTCTCCCACATTCTTCTGTCCCGGTGCCTTTTTCATTAATTGGGAATAAACCACCTAAGACTAAGTCTCCTTCTATCTTAATTTCCTTTCTTAAAAAGTTATGGTCACTTAGGGAAAGGAAAACTCCTTTGCAGAGCAAAGCAAGGGCAAGCACCTGCAGCCTGGTGAACATCTTCATTGGTCCTGTTTTGGCAGCTTTAAGAAGCATGAGCAGAAGTAGACATGCCCCTTAGTCCTCTTGACCCATTGCCAAATGTGAAGCGCTGTCCCACAAGCAAGGGAAGTACAAGCCAACAAGACTTTCCATCAAGTCCCTAAATAGACAAAAGGAATTAGAAAAGGCAAAAGGAGACATCAGTTATTATGTTCTTTTCATCAATAAAACATTCAGAGTGGTGTTAAAAGGACGTGGTTTGGGAAAATAGAAAGCTCTGGCAATGAGAAATAAGATCGGCTTACATGCGCATAGTGTCTTTCATCCCAAAGGATCCATAATTGCTTCACAAGCTGAACAAATTTTACACAGCAGCTACGCACAAAATTCCACGGAAACACAACCAACTCTGGGGTGAAACGAGTCAAATGTGTAATGTTGCTGAATGCTGTTAAGCAACAGGTTAGGACAGGAGATGAAGAATAAATAAAGCAGATTCTCCCCATATCTAGCTCTCTCTTACACTCATGTCCAAATGCTCTTCTGCTGTCTCCCCTATTCTGAGAGTCGTACTGCCGTTATGTTTCCTTCCACCCTCCATCCAGGCTGCAGCTCCCTCTGTGTCTCACTGCACTTGTCAACCTCCCCTAGGTTTTATCTTCCCTTCCTAGTTAAAGCTATCTCCACCCACTGGATCCCACTTGCCCCTCCCACAGCTTCAGGATTCTCCCATTGCTGCCACCTGGGCCTGCAGGTGCTGGGTAGTTAGTTGTTGCTCTGCTCAGCACAGGACCTTTTCTTCCAAAGTGCCAGGCTGAACTCCAGTGGTCCCAGCTTCCATGAGATAGGGGAGGTACACCCCTACCACCTTCTGCCTGGCTTGAGGGAGGGAGACATTGTGGGAGGGAAGCTCTGGATACCCTTCCTGGGCTGGGCAAGATAAACAAAGGGTGGGAGAAAGGAAATATTATCAACCCAATTTTAAAGATGGGGGAACTGAGGCTCAGGGAGATTAAATAACCTGCCCAAGGACATGCAGTGAGTCCGTGGCGGAGCTGGAAACTGACCCCAGATCTCGTGAATCATGGTCTAGTGCCTTAAGCACCTGATCATTTGTCTTTAAAGTTAAAAACCTTGCAAGCAAATAACTCGAGGAAAAGGTAAAAGCAACGAAGATGAGCTAGAACAGAAAGGATATGCATATTGAAGTTTGCCCAAGGCAGAAAAATGCCTAGGGCTGAACTTACTCACTTTAATGTTAATCATAGTTCAGTGCATGGGTCAGGGGGAAAACAGACATTCAAGCATGCATATATTTGGGCTGATTCTACTCCCATTGAAGTCAATGGGCGTTTTGCTATTGATTGCAAGAGGAGCAGGATCAAACCTTTAGATATGACCATGTTATGCTACAACAGTCTCATGACTATATGTATTTGCCTGTAAACTCCTTGATAGTGTCTCTTTACAGCATGAATTAATGTGGCCACCTTGAACTCCAAGTCCTTAAAAAAATCAAATATGGTAATATTTAAGTAGAGCACTTTAATATTTCATTATTGTACTTACCTTTTCCTTAAAGCAAAATTTATTATGATTAGGCTTGCAGGGCTATGTATAATTTAGAAACACTTAGCATTATTTAAAACAGAGTGCTAAGAAATTTAAAGAAGAGACAATTAAAATTTAACACTGAAAGATGGATGAACAAGCTTATTCCGATGCAGCTGTTTATCCTGGGGGAGTTTCTATATTGCTCTATCAGATTCTGGCAAAGGACAGAATTTTATTTATATTTACTCCAGCATCGTTATATCATGTCAGTAGCAAGCCAGCTACACAGTTAAACATACTTCTTTATAGCCATATTGATGTGTATATAGCCTGAACCGCAGCCCATTTCAGCAAAGTCCTCCATGCGCAGATAAGTGATATGTGAGCTGCAAACAAACAGTTTCACCCTTCACCATAGGCAATCAGCCATATGGTTTTTTAACCAATGCAGGAACAGAACCTCCCAGGTTAACATCCACTCTGGGGAAAGCTGGTAGGAATAATGAAATAAATATATTCACAAATAATTCAACATCAAATTCAGTCAAACAATATTTGCCAGATATTATTCAACCATCTTCAGAGTGCTTCAAATAATGAAAAATATTTGTTTGCAAATAATTTATTGGACAAAGTTGTCAGATTGAATTATAAGATGCCAATAATTTATCAGATCTGCTTCCATAGTTCATGGTAGTAATCTGTCCTCTGGACTATAACGTGCTTTGAGATTTCCTATGCATTATCTATTCTGTGCATTTGTATGGCCTATATCATCCTGGTATCTTAGGGCCTCAACAAACATTTAATGTATTTATCTCCACAACAGCCCCATGAAGATTGTTATCCCCATTTTATAGGTGGGGAAATTGAGGCACAGAGCTTAAGGGCCAGGTTTTCAATGGCTCACGACCCCTGCTGGGGACCAAATTCGAAAAGCGCTTAGCTCCCATTTTTGCACCTCCATAAAAAGCTGATTTTCAAAAGAACTCTGCACTCTGCAACTCCCACAGTAACACTTATGGGCAAGTTTTCAAAAGAGCTCCATACCCAACAAACTGAACACTTCTGAAAATCTGGCTATTTATTTAGGTAACTAAATGGGAGCTGAGCTAGGCTGCTGAGACTACTGCTTATCATGCTGGTGAATTTTTTCCTTGTACTCCTGCATCTGTTTGTATCCATTTGTTGTTTCTTGTCTTATATTTCGCTTTCAAGTTCTTTGGGGTGGGGACTGTCTTTTGTCCTGTGTTTGTACAGAGCCCAGTGCAATATACAGTAATACCGATAATAATGAATGACTCACCCAAGATTATTGTAGGTCAGCTCAGAATCCAACCCAGATCTTTTGAGCTCTCTGCCAGTCCCATAGCCAGCCAGCCAGCCACCCTTCCTTCCCATACCTGCCTTCTTCTTTTGCTTGAGGTTTTTATGGGGTGATATCAAAAGCAGTTTGTCACAACAGCACTCCAAGGCTGTCAGGAACAAGTAACTTCTGCTCAGAAATGTCTAGTTAGAGACAACCCTGTGTTCTAAATCCCATAGACAACCTACACAAGACCCTATGCATCAATGCCTTCTTAGGTGGTATATAGGGACATGGGCAGGCCTTCTGTCTTGGGATAAATTTCATCTGGAATGAGCAATCCTGCAAAGTGAGTCAGCTTTATTCCAGCCTTTCATCATTCATGTTCATTTCTTTGGCTACCATTTTTTTCAAGTGAGAAACATAGCAGGGGCAAGAGTTGGCAATTTCAATGGGCATCGGGGAGTGGGTGTGAAAGGGAGAGAGATGGGGGTAGGCCCACTCCTCATGCTACTCTGTCAAGCCACCTCACTTCTCTGGCACTCTACATGTTGAGCAGCCCTGGTCCAAAGGACTTCTGTCGAGAGACGGATGGGGGTGCTCCCAGGGAGGTCTGTGAGGGGACAGAAGGTTGACAACATGTGACACACTAAGGTTCCTGATGCACATGGGCTAGCTAGCCCCACTCCGCAGGCCAGTGGCTCACTCAGGTCTCCAAGCTGCAGTGGAGTCCAAAACCAGGGCAAAATTCTGTATTTTGTAAAATGGACAGGAACATGGGAGCAGATTCCTGGTTCCCAGGAAAACATGATCACTGTCTTTCAGTTGTTCAGTCTCTTAGCTTTTAAATATTAACCAGGAACATAATCTTCAGTAAAAAAAAAAAAATCTACTTCCTTTTGCAGGCACAGCTCTTCTCTCATCCTGCAAACCAGCCAACCTCGCTTCCAAACCTCTGCCTCCTCATTGCTACTGGAGCCCCGTGTGACTTCGGCTTCTTTTTGTGTCACTGCGCTGCCCACAAGAACAGGTGCGTCAGGCATATCAGTCTGGGAAGGGGAGGGGCAGTTTGTCAAAAATTGTTCCCTCTAGGACTGTCAAAGGAGCAAATGTTTTCCCGTTGGCTATGTGATTAGTAAAAGAACAAGCCTTAAGCAGCAATGCAGATTCAGGTGGCTAGATGTTCAGGTAGGGAGTCCTGCCCAGAGTGCTGGCTGTGAAGAAGAAAAGTTGGTTTGAAGCCATTAGCGAAGATGAGCTAGGATTTTAATTTTCCTCCTGCACATCTCCATCAACAGACACCTCTGACATGCTGGCTTGGTTTGGAGTGTATTAGCTCTGCAATATACATAAGTCACTCCTGGCAGTGTTACATGTAAAAGAACGTGGGCCATATTCTTTCCCTTCCCTGCAGTTGGAATAGCACCCACTAACTCGGAGCTGAATTGTGCCACATGCTTCCGGAAGTGATATCACCATTCTGCCCAAATCCATGCTGGCTGACATTAAAACACTTTTCTGCGATGGTGCATTTGAATATCGTTTCAATTGGGAGTGGCTATCCATCAAACATTTATACTGTGATAGCATTTAACTACCCAACTGAGGTCAGGGCCCATTGTGACAGGCATGCAAACATGTAATTAGAAACAATCCCTATCCCAAAGAGATTACAGTCAAAATAGACAAAGTGAGAGGAAACAGAGGCAAAGAGAAAAGAAGGGATTTGTCCAAGGCCACAAAGCAAGTCAATGTCAGAGCCAGGAAGAGAATCCTGATCGCCCAACTCCCAGTCTAGTGTCCCAGCTACTAACTAGGTGCTGTCTCCAATACGAGATTACTCATCAGCTTCTAGTTTTTCTGGGGCATTTTTGGTGCATCTCTAGCAGTAAGGCCTTTTTTAGAAAGATAGATTCATGGTGAAAATTAACTTGGCCCCTCTGTTAGAACAGAATCAATCCAAATACCGAAATGAGAAACCAGACAAAATAGATATAGGCTCCCAATCAATGCCTAGCCCCGGTGTTTTCAATCAATCCTAGGGAATTCTTATTCTTCTTGAGTTAGTTCTTGCTCAGGTCTTTCCATGTGGCTCAGCACCTTGGGCGGTGGTTTCAGTTATTTCAGCTATATATATATATACACTCAACAAAGGAGCTTAATTGCTTATTCCGTTTAGCCTGAATGAATGGTA